TTAAGTGTCACTTCTATTTTTTTGGGGGGGAAGGGGGGAGCTTAGTTACAGACTTTGTGCCTCCATTACTGCATTTCATAAATACCAGTTGAATTTTCCGTAAAATAACTCAAAATCCATTCCAGGTGCATCGAAATAATTGTCTCCCAGTTGCCCCCTGCCAGCGGACTGCAGAGAAGGACCCATGTTCTCTGTGTGGAAACACAAAGCTAAGTCAGCAAAGCTCTGACCCAGCAGGGGGTTTGATGGACCCCTGCGGAGAGACTGCTGCTTCCACACCTTCTATGCAGCATGCTGGCAGAGGAGAGGCTTTTTTACTCAGGCTGTGGCTGCTTTCTAAAGGAAACCAATTGGAAATACATTGCCAACCTTCTGTTTTGCACCTGGAATGGATTTGGATGACTTACATCAGTGTTTCTCAATTCCAGTCCTCATGGACCCCCAACAGGTCATGTTTTTAGGATTTCCATTATTTTGCACAGGTGATTTGATCAGTTTCACTGCCTTAGTAATTACCACAGCTGTTTCATCTGAGGGAAATCCTGAAAACATGACCTGTTGGGGGTCCATGAGGACTGGAGTTGAGAAACACTGACTTACATGGAAAGTTCTTCTTGGAACTAAGTGGCCAAACCCGGGACCAACCAATAGGCCTGCCAGGGAGAGTCGCCATGCAGACCTATTAGACACTTTCAGATGCTGCGGCGATAAGGAGAACATTTCGTTTGTCATTTTCCTCCTCTATTTATGGTAATGAAATGATCAGCTAACTGTGAATTCCGAGTGATGATACAGAAGGTCATACGATTGTCCAGCAAATTGCCATCTATAAAAGCCGTTCCGGCGTACTCAGTCAGCCGTGAATCATCGGCAGCTGCCTCGCAAATTACAGCCACGGCACTCTTGGCGCTGACCTTGGGGCGTGCATCATCATAAGTGCTGTATAAAGAGCCTGGTCTGGCCACAATCCTCTAATGTAGACATTCTCTGCAATCTCCACCCATTGGGTGCTGCTTTAGAAACAGGCCTGGACCAGCAAACCGGCAATTCAGGCATTGTGAGCACCTGTCCACTCTCATTCAAACTGGGAAAATGAGTCTTGAAATGCATGCTGGAATGGACTTCATGCTTCCGTAGGGTCCCTTCACTAGTTCACCCCGGGGGTTCACCCCATCAGAAGCATATGGGGAGCCTGGTTTTATTTATCCAATGATTATGGATCATGATTCTTTGCCAGCGTTACATAATAGTTGATGAAAGTGGAAAAATAGTGCTGGACCCACCAGGGTTTCTTATTGGTGTTACTATCTTATAGTACTGATGTTGATGTCGGTGATTTGGCTCCCGGGCAGGCGGCTTTTACACCCCAGAGGGTCTCTTTGGCTTGTGCCTCCAGAGGTTGCAAGGGGCTCTTGAGCTGTGGCTAATTGATCTCCTATTTGATGGTGCTTGCATAGTTCCACGGCCAATGCCACTTGGCAGAGCCAGCTGCATGACACCAATCATCTTAGCTGTCTGTAGGGGTGGTATTCTGACTACCATTGGAAGAAGCGTTCTTCTCACTGGCCACCAATGTAAGGAGCTTTCTTCCTCCTGACCACCGATGAAAGGAGCTTTCTTCCCCCTGACCAGCAATGAAAGAAGCATTCTTGCCACAGACCACCAATGTAAGGAGCATTCTTCCCCCTGACCATCAATGGAAGGAGCATTCTTCCTACTGACCATCAATGGAAGGAGATTTCTTCCTACTGACCACCAATGGAAGGAACATTTGTACATCTGATGACCACCAATGGAAGGAGAATTCTTCCCATAGACTACCAACAGAAGACGCATTCTTCCTATTGACGGACAATGGAAGGAACATTCTTCCTACTGACCACCAATGGAAGAAGATTTCTTCCTACTGACCACCAATGGAAGAAACATTTGTACATCTGACCACCAATGGAAGGAGAATACTTCTATAGACTACCAATAGAAGATGCATTCTTCCTATTGACCGCCAGTGGAAGGAACATTCTTCCTACTGACCACCAATGGAAGGAGATTTCTTCCTACTGACCACCAATGGAAAGAACATTTGTAAATTTGACCACCAATGGAAGGTGAATTCTTCCCATAGACTACCGATAGAAGAGGCATTCTTCCTATTGACCACCAATGGAAGAAACATTTGTACATTTGACCACCAATGGAAGGAGAATTCTTCCCATAGACTACCAACAGAAGACGCATTCTTCCTATTGACCGACAATGGAAGGAACATTCTTCCTACTGACAATCAATGGAAGGAGATTTCTTCCTGCTGACCACCAATGGAAGGAACATTTGTACATCTGACCACCAATGGAAGGGGAATTCTTCCCATAGACTACCAATAGAAGATGCATTCTTCCTATTGACCGACAATGGAAGGAACATTCTTCCTACTGACAACCAATGGAAGGAGATTTCTTCCTACTGACCACCAATGGAAGGAACATTTGTACATTTGACCACCAATGGAAGGTGAATTCTTCCCATAGACTACCGATAGAAGAGGCATTCTTCCTATTGACTGCCAATGGAAGGAACATTCTTCCTAGCATCAAGTCAATGTAACTCCCGGGATATTGATCTGGTCAGATAAGTCGCAGAGGGGGTTGTTCATCAGTTTCAGCTTCTTTCGTGTTAATGAAATTAACAACAGGTGTACTAGATGGGCAACAATGCGACGACCCACAAAACAGGAATGGTTTTACAGGTGGAGGCCACTGACATTTTTTCCCTACTCATCTTTTCTGACTGTTTTTCACTAGTTTTGCATTTGGCTAGGGTCAGTGTCACTACTGGTAGCATGAGGCCATACCTGGACCCTACAGAGGCTACACAGGCAGTCCAACTCCTCCAGGATGGCACATCAATACGTACCATTGCCTGAAGGTTGGCTGTGTCTCCCAGCACAGTCTCAAGAGCATGGAGGAGATTCCAGGAGGCAGGCAGTTCCACTAGGAGAGCTGGACAGTAGAAGGTCCTTAATTCATCAGCAGGACTGGTATCTGCTCCTTTGTGCAAGGAGGAGGAACAGGATGAGCCCTGCCAGAGCCCTACAAAATGACCTCCAGCAGGCCACTGGTGTGAATGTCTGTCTCTGATCAAATAATCAGAAACAGACTTCATGAGGGTGACTTGAGGGCCCGACGTCCTCTAGTGGGCCCTGTGCTCACTGCCCGGCATCATAGAGCTCAATTGGCATTTTCCATTGTACACCAGAATTGGCAGGTCCACCACTGGCGTCCTGTGCTTTTCACAGATGAGAGCAGGTTCCCCCTGAGCACATGTGACAGACGTGAAAGGGTCTGGAGAAGCCGTGGAGAACATTCTGCTGCCTGTAACATGGTTCAGCATGACCGTTTTGGTGGTGGGTCAGTGATGGTCTGGGGAGGCATCTCCATGAAGGGACGCACAGACCTCTACAGGCTAGACAATGGCACCCTGACTTCCATTAGGTATCGGGATGAAATCCTTGGACCCATTGTCAGACCCTACGCTGGTGTAGTGGGTCCTGGGTTCCTCCTGGTGCAGTGGGTCCTGGGTTCCTCCTGGTGCAGTGGGTCCTGGCTTCCTCCTGGTGCACGACAATGCCCGGCCTCGTGGAGAGAGTATGCAGGCAGTTCCTGGAGGATGAAGGAATTGATACCATCGAATAGCCCCCATGCTCGCCTGACCTAAATCCAATAGAACCCCTCTGGGATGTCATGTGTCGGTCCATCCGACGCTGCCAGGTTGCACCTCAGACTGTCCAGGAGCTCAGTGATGCCCTGGTTCAGATCTAGGAGGAAATCCCCCAGGATACCATCCGTGGTCTCATTAGGACCCCTCCCCCAACATTATCAGGCATGCATACAAGCACGTGGGGGCCATATACACTACTGAGGACCATTCTGAGTTGCTGCAATGACATTTCACCAACATGGACTCGCCTTCTGCATTATTTTTTCACTTTGATTTTCGGGGTGTCTTTGAATTCAGTCCTCTGTAGGTCGATCATTTTCATTTCCATCACACGATGGGGCGTCCTTACGTTCCTCACACATCACCCAGTCCATGTCAGTATAGAGATCCAGCAGGAGATTCCTCCCCATTCAGATCTGATGGGTTTTCAAAGTCTTGCTTTCATTTTTTCGAGCCGTGTACTATAAATGCTATCAAAATGTGTGACCATGCCACAGTGATTTGTGCTCCATTTTTAGGCTAAATGTATGTTGCCCCAGCAAGATGGCTGCCTCCACAGTGGGGACATGACAGGTCCACTTTATTGCATTTTCCATTAGTCATTCATGGGCCTGCTCCACTTTACTAAACCCCAAGATAAGCAAAGCATCTGATTAATATCCCATTTAACTCATTGCAGATTCCAAAACATCCCCAAGACAAATACAAACGGAACAAGCAAAACACACGGCCACAAAAGCAGCTAAACATTTTTATCCTGAAGTATTTCTGGAAAAATATTGTGTTTGGACCGGCGTCCAACAACCATTGTGGTTTCCTGGCAGGCAGATTATGTGTCTCATTTACAATACCCCTCTAAAGCCGCTCCACGGTTTCATAAAAGTAGGGATTGTGTGAAAAAGTCGCCTCTTATTCCGAGATTTCTGCCTTTTATCCTCAAAATAGTTTTGTTTAGAAGAAAAGAATCTGTCCTCTCGCTGCCGTCTCCATTGTTGCTTAAAAACATTCTCGACGGTCGAAAAGCCAGTTCTGGATGGCATTTTACATTGCATGAATATAGAGATTCTGTACTTCCACAAAAGATATTAAACTCAGAGCCAAGGACACCACAAGGCAGGCATCTCCAACAAACCCCAGGGTTCGGTTCCTCCAGAGATTGGTAGGGGTTCCTTGAGCTGTGGATGGTTGACCTCCTCTTTGATGGTGCCTTAATAGTTTCAGGGTCAAGGCCACTTGGCAGAGCCATCTACATGATACCGACGTAGCCTACTGACTACCAATCCCACTGACCACCAATGGAAGGAACATTCTTCCCACTGACCACCAATGTAAGGGACATTCTTCCCACTGACCACCAATGGAAGGAACATTCTTCCCACTGACCACCAATGTAAGGAACATTCTTCCCACCGACCACCAATGTAATGAGCATTCTTCCCACTGACCACTAAAGTAAGACATTCTTCCCACTGACCACTAACGTAAGACATTCTTCCCACTGACCACCAATGTAAGGAACATTCTTCCCACTGACCCACAATGTAAGGGACATTCTTCCCACTGACCCCCAATGTAAGGGATATTCTTCCCACTGATCACCAATGTAAGGGACATTCTTCTCTCTGACCCCCAATGTAAGGGACATTCTTCTCTCTGACCCCCAATGTAAGGGACATTCTTCCCACTGACCCCCAATGTAAGGGACATTCTTCCCACTGACCCCCAATGTAAGGGACATTCTTCCCACTGATCACCAATGTAAGGGACATTCTTCTCTCTGACCCCCAATGTAAGGGACATTCTTCCCACTGACCCCCAATGTAAGGGACATTCTTCCCACTGACCCCCAATGTAAGGGACATTCTTCCCACTGATCACCAATGTAAGGGACATTCTTCTCTCTGACCCCCCAATGTAAGGGACATTCTTCCCACTGACCCCCAATGTAAGGGACATTCTTCCCACTGACCCCCAATGTAAGGGACATTCTTCCCACTGATCACCAATGTAAGGGACATTCTTCCCACTGACCACCAATGTAAGGGACATTCTTCTCTCTGACCACTAATGTAAGGGACATTCTTCACACTGACCCCCAATGTAAGGAGCATTCTTCTCTCTGACCCCCAATGTAAGGAGCAATCTTGCCACTGAAATCCAATGGAAGGAACAGTAAAAAAATGACATAGCACCTGGTCCATAGCAGGAGGAATAGTGCCCCTCATTCATATTAGTGCAAGGTATAGTGCTCCATTATTGGTGTCAGTGGAAGGAATAGTGTCTCATCATTGGTGTCAGTGGAATGAATGGTGTCTAATTGTTGGTGTCAGAACAGTGCCCCATTGTTGGTGTCAGTGGGAGGCATAATGCTCCATCATTGGTGCCAGTTGAAGGAATGGTGCCTAAATGTCTAAATGTTTGTGTCAGAATAGTGCCCCATCATTGGTGTCAGGGAGAAGAATTATGCCCCACCGTTGGTGTCTGTGGGAGGAATAGTGCCTAATTATTGGTGTCAGTGGAAGGAATTGTGTCTCATTGTTGGTGTTTGTGGGAAGAATAGTTCCCCATTATTGGTGTGTCAGTGGGAGGAATAGTGCCTAATCATTGGTGTCAGTGGAAGGAATAGTGTCTCATTGTTGGTGTTTGTGGGTGGAAGAGTGCCCCAATATTGGTGTCAGCACAATGAACATTGCCCCAGTTTTTGTGTCCAGTGGGAAGAGTAGCACCTTCTATCAGTGGCAGGAATAGTGTCCCATGGGCTGGATAATGGCAAGCAAGGAGCCACAGTTTGGAGGCCACAGTTCTAAGCTATCCTAAAGCAAACTTTATTATAATCTTTATTATCTGTAGATAAATAACATACAAATAATTTTCAAAATCTTCACCAAATAATGGGTAACTCACCCAAAATCGATATTTCTCTTGTGTTTTATATGAATCTTGGAGACTCAAGTGGTGAAATTGTCTGCATTTCTACATCCTGAGCAATGCAGGTTAATGGTGAAAAGTCATTCCCATTGTACGGTGACATCATGGGCCATTGGTGATGTTATGGACTTTCAGAATAATGGGAGCTTCGAAGAACGCGCTGCGAGGAGCACTTTGTCTATTGTACCTTAATGGTTTTATGTTCATTATAATGGATAGTAACTAAAGTCACATTATGGAGTCCCAAGAGGCACTGAAGAGAAAGATCAGAGACTCTGTCTCTGCATGCATCACATTTGCCCACATAAAGCTGTAAAGTGCTTTTATATTGATGGCACTTAATGGCATTTATATAATTAGAGAATGTTTTGTTAGTTTGTTACATATCAAACAATGGAGCATGATCATAGAACTATCAGTTACAATACAGCACAGTTTTCCAATTAAATAATGCTGCGTGCACTGCTGCCTCCAACTCCTAGTCTCAGGAGATTTGGTGATGTCACTACTGTGCTGCTCACTGTTCTCCTTGCTGGAGAGGAAGCTGTACCTGATGATCTGCAGTGCAAGGATATCCCTTCATCCAAACCTGCAAGTCTCTAGAGAGTTGGTGATATCACTACTGTGCTGCTCACTGTTCTTGCTGAGAGGAAGCTGTACCTGATGATCTGCAGTGCAAGGATTTCCCTTCATCCAAACCTGCAAGTCTCTGGAGATTTGGTGATGTCACTACTGTACTGCTCACTGTTCTCCTTGCTGGAGAGGAAGCTGTACCTGATGATCTTCAGTGCAAGGATTTCCCTTCATCCAAACCTGCAAGTCTCTGGAGATTTGGTGATGTCACTACTGTACTGCTCACTGTTCTCCTTGCTGGAGAGGAAGCTGTACCTGATGATCTTCAGTGCAAGGATTTCCCTTCATCCAAACCTGCAAGTCTCTGGAGATTTGGTGATGTCACTACTGTACTGCTCACTGTTCTCCTTGCTGGAGAGGAAGCTGTACCTGATGATCTTCAGTGCAAGGATCTCCCTTCATCCAAACCTGCAAGTCTCTGGAGATTTGGTGATGTCACTACTGCGCTGCTCACTGTTCTCCTTGCTGGAGAGGAAGCTGTACCTGATGATCTGCAGTGCAAGGATCTCCCCTCATCCAAACCTGCAAGTCTCTGGAGATTTGGTGATTGTCATTACTGCGCTGCTCACTGTTCTCCTTGCTGGAGAGGAAGATATATCTGAGGATATGCAGTGCATGTGTCTCTCTGCTCCTGCTCCATCCATTCTGTGCTTTCTAAACCTCTCCTGATGTTTATTGTACATTCCCCCACCAGTCATTAGACCACCTATTTTTTTAAACGGCAGCTTTGATATGACAAAGCAAAGCTATGCCTTTCTATCAAGATGTCTGCCTCCACACAAACACATTGGAGAATTCGGCATGGTACATTAGTATCTGTTAAAAGATTAGGCTGGGAACCCACAGCGAATACTTGGGACTAGTCCTTTGCTCTCTGCTTGCCTTTTTGGGGTTCAGCATTGATAGTAAGGGTTAAAGGGTTGCAGAAGCCGGGGCGGGGTTTTCGGGTCATGTGACCGCTGTAATTTGCTGTCACAGCGGTCACATGATCGGGAACGGTCCCGATCGAAAGAGATCAGGACCTTTCCGTGAGTACCGGACATGTGTGCTGGGAGCGTGCAGGGTGCGCGCTCTCAGCACATATTTTTTTGTAATAGAACGAAAATGTGCGGCCGCTCGGCGTCTAGGCCCGGAAGCCGGGAGGTCGCGCATTTGCATTCGGCCGGCGCCAAGAGGTTAAAGGACAAGTGCACTTTTACAGGCTGTCCCCTGTTTTCCCTCGACCCTTCAGCCTGTGGAAAAAAACAATAGAATTGGGACCTGTACTGCTGACATCAATGGGTTTCATTAACCACTTCCAGTCCGGACACTTTCCCCCCCCTTCCAGTCCGGACACTTTCCCCCCCCTTCCAGTCCGGGCACTTTCCCCCCCTTCCAGTCCGGACACTTTCCCCCCCTTCCAGTCTGGACACTTTTCCCCCCTTCCAGTCTGGACACTTTCCCCCCCTTCCAGTCCGGACGCTTTCCCCCCCCTTCCAGTCCGGACGCTTTCACCCCCTTCCAGTCCGGACGCTTTTCCCCCCCTTCCAGTCCGGACGCTTTCCCCCCCCCCTTCCAGTCCGGACACTTTCCCCCCCTTCCAGTCCGGACGCTTCCCCCCCTTCCAGTCCGGACGCTTTCCCCCCCCTTCCAGTCCGGACGCTTTCCCCCCCCCCTTCCAGTCCGGACGCTTTCCCCCCCCCCCCCCCTTCCAGTCCGGACACTTCCCCCCCCCCCTTCCAGTCCAGGCCAATTTTCAGCTTTCAGCGCTATCACACTTTGAATGACAATTGCGCGGTTATGCAACACTGTACCCATATGAATCTTTTTGCATTTTTTTGAGACAGATAAAAACTTTATTTTGGTGGTAATTATTCACCGCTGGGATTTTTTTTTTTATATATAAATGAAAAAGTCCAAAAATTTTAAAAAATAGTGTATTTCTTATAAAATTTTGCAAATAAATAATCTTTCTGCATAAATCTCGGCCACAATGTATTCAGCTCTCTTTAGCAAAAAAATACATAAATAACCCAAATTAGTTTATAACCAGAAATTATAATTTTCAAATTGTTTTTTTTACGGTTTTATTTTTTTTTTATATTATTATTTATGGTTTTTTTTTTTAACATACTGTCACCCTAGCAATACAGTGTTACCATAGTGACACTGTACTACTTGGGGTGATGAAGATTTTTTTTTCTTTCTTTACACTGATTGCTTTTACACCCATAAAGGCTGTAAAAGCAATCATTTCTCCTTCTCTCTGGCTGCATTCTTGCAGCCATTGAGAAATACTGTGAGAGCTGTGATTGGTCACAGATTGTCACATGGTACAAGGCTGTTGTGAATAGCCCTGTACCATGTGATCTCTGTGATCATTCACAGATTTCACACTTGGTAAGCAATGATGTCACAAGTGACATCTTGTATATTACTGCTCATGTGATCACTGATTTCTCAGCAGAAGAAAGCATGGAGATATGGATGGATGGAGGAGTTTACTTTGAATATTGAAAATGAATGAAATAGCTCTTTTGGTGTGTGGTGCTCAGGTACAGTGTAGTTCTGCTTCAAGTGCCGTCATCATCAGGGACGGACTGACAACTCATGGGGCCCCCAGGCAATAGGGGATCATGGGGCCCCTGTGTCCTCGCCCAAACTCAAAAAAAGCCTATGAAAAGGTACCAGGGGAATCTCATGGGGCCTCCTACTGACCCCGGGCCCTCGGGCAGTGCCCGAGTTTCCAAATGGTCAGTCCGCCCCTGGTCATCCTTTAAAGTGAACCTGTCCTGAGTAAGATCTCTGGATCTCAGTTTGAAAATGCTGGGCAGTAATGCTTCGTTGACCTGGAATAAGTGTGCAAGCGATCAATGTCAAAAAATATAGAGAATTTTCATAATATTAATAGTGCTTATGTTGGTGTTTGTTCTCAAGAGCTTCATACCATCCTACAGGCAAGCAGATTTGGCTTTGTCTGTGCCATTCATGGTGCCTCTTATGTTTGGGGCCACTATCCTCTCCACTCATCAGCTTCTGCCACCTCCCACCTTCGACAGGATCCCTTTTTTTCCAATGATTTTTGGATGTATCTATTGGCAATAATAATCATTACCCTAGATCAACCATTCTCAACCAGTGTTCCTGCAGAGGTTGCGAGGGGTTCCTTGAGCTATGGCTAATGGATCATCCATCTGATGGTGCCTTGAAAGATTCATGTCCATCAGCACTTGGCAGAGCCAGTAGCATGACCCCAATGGTCTTTAAACCTGTCTAGAAGGGTAGCATTCTGATACCACTGTAAAGGAGGGCATTCGTCCCACTGACCACCAATGTAAAGGGTCATTTTCTGAAAGACCCCCAATGGACTAATCTTAGCAGGGTTTCCCTGAGACGTGACAATTATTTCAAGGGTTCCTCTGGGTTAAAAGGTTGAGAAAGGCTGCCCCAGATTCACGGATCCATTTGATTTTTTTCTTGAGGCTGATTGGCCTCGTGTGACCTTTGTT